TCTTCCATCTCTCTCTTTCTGTCTCTCTCTCTCTCTCCTCCTCGCCCTGTACATTCGGTTTGTGTTTCTCCCCGGTATACCCAACCAGCGAGGAGACATTATTTACAACGTTGAGCACGGTAGACAATGCACACACAGTGTCCAGGAGGCGGAGGGAGAGGCCCACGGGATGGTAAAAGCCGCCATCTTTGTTCCTTTTCTGTTCTCCATATGCAACAACATCTGCCCACGAACCGCGATATTCCACCTTACCCTCCTTCAATTTTTGTCTCTGGCTCCCGAGGGAATTCACTATCGCCAAGTAAAACTCACCAGCAATTTCCAAGTATGCAACCTCTCGCACCACCCTATCGTTATCGTAAACTTGCCGTGAACATGGAATTGGGCTTTGCTCCCCAGCACCCAACCTCCTCTGGCATTTTATTTTTCTTTATTACACCCTCCAATGGTGTTCGGTTGGACGCCATTTGCCCGGCTGAGAGTCGACATTACCGCGTGTGGTCTGATGCATAATCTCCGCAACTACTATTTTTTTACGAGGATATGTCTATGTTTTTATTATGGGGCGGCATTTAGGGGAAAAGTCCTTATGGTTCCTTATCGATAGTGGTGCCATCTATCGGAATTCTAGCACATTCTCTAGAAAATTCTAGATTTTTCGAACAAATTGCAGATTTTTCTAGAAAATTCTCCAGTTAAAAAAAAAATTACAATTTTAAGGGATCCTTAGCGCTGGTCGGCAAAATCTGTACAGTTGGATATTATTGCACGAAATAGATAAAATTTGTGGGTCCGTGTTAAAATTTCCAAGGGTGTTTGTATGTGATGACTTCGTTGTGAATGAAATAAGGGAGGGTAGGGCAAAACGTACTACAGGGCAAAACGGACTCCTGACAGAAAATTAATAATTTTTGTTTTTGCTTCTGAATGGAGCAAATTCGAAGTCATTTGTGGTTTGAGGCGATTAGCAAATTGATCAAATTGCGATTCAACGACACTTTTTATCTATTAAACCCCTGTAATGGTTACGATCCAAGAAACTCACTTTTAATTCAACACATTCAGTGTTCCTGATTTGAAAGAAAGAAAAAAACACAAAAATTACCAATTTTCTGTCAGTGGTCCGTTTTTCCCTACCCTCCCCTATGTTGAACGTTTGTTTAGGGACTTTGATTGTACATAACAATTCAATCGTATCGTGATTATAAAAAGCGTCTTATCATGACGAGACGGTGCGAAATCCCGAATTCCTCTAATATACCTATATAAATAGGGGAGGGTAGGGCAAAATGGACCCCTGACAGAAAATTAATAATTTTTCTTTTTGCTTCCGAATGGAGCCAATTCGAAGTCATTTGTGGTTTGAGGTGATAAGCAAATCTGACCAAATTGCGGTTCAACGACACTTGTCGTCTATAAAACCCCTGTAACGGTTACGATCCAAGAAACTCACTTTTAATTCAACACATTCAGTGTTCCTGATTTGAAAGAAAGAAAAAAACACAAAAATTACCAATTTTCTGTCAGTGGTCCGTTTTTCCCTACCCTCCCCTATGTTGAACGTTTGTTTAGGGACTTTGATTGTACATAACAATTCAATCGTATCGTGATTATAAAAAGCGTCTTATCATGACGAGACGGTGCGAAATCCCGAATTCCTCTAATATACCTATATAAATAGGGGAGGGTAGGGCAAAATGGACCCCTGACAGAAAATTAATAATTTTTCTTTTTGCTTCCGAATGGAGCCAATTCGAAGTCATTTGTGGTTTGAGGTGATAAGCAAATCTGACCAAATTGCGGTTCAACGACACTTGTCGTCTATAAAACCCCTGTAACGGTTACGATCCAAGAAACTCACTTTTAATTCAACACATTCAGTGTTCCTGATTTGAAAGAAAGAAAAAAACACAAAAATTACCAATTTTCTGTCAGTGGTCCGTTTTGCCCTACCCTCCCCTAGGTTGAAAGTTTGTTTAGGGATTTTGGTTGTACATAACAATTCCATCGTATCGTGATTATAAAAAGCGTCTTATCATGACGAGACGGTGCGAAATCCCGAATTCCTCTAATATACCTATATAAATAGGGGAGGGTAGGGCAAAATGGACCCCTGACAGAAAATTAATAATTTTTGTTTTTGCTTCCGAATGGAGCAAATTCGAAGTCATTTATGGTTTGAGGCGATAATTAAATCTGACCAAATTGCGGTTCAACGACACTTGTCGTCTATAAAACCCCTGTAATGGTTACGATCCAAGAAACTCACTTTTAATTCAACACATTCAGTGTTCCTGATTTGAAAGAAAGAAAAAAACACAAAAATTACCAATTTTCTGTCAGTGGTCCCTTAACAATTCAATCGTATCATGATTATAAAATGCGTCTTATCACGACGAGACGATGTGCAAGCCCGAATTCTTCTAATATACCTAAATAAATATGTACAATGAAAAACTATAATGTTGAGTAAAGGATAGGGAAGACCACAGACGTATCCACGTAAAATTACGGCTGTATAAAAAAAAAACAGATTTTACTTCTGAATTACAACTGACTGATAGGCACCCGAGAAATAAATGCTTCACGGCTCATTAATTGCTTTCCCGATATCGCGACAGGCGTCACTCAGGTGTAGCCTACGCATATGAAATGTCGGGTTTCACTCCAACGGACGATGAAAAAAACGCAAAATAACTGCGAAACATTGGCTACTGATAACTACTGCATCCCTACGTCGTTATCATCCAGTCCTTCAATATCAGTGCATCGCTGGCCTTCGGAATCGCCGTAGCTAACTAGATTCAGAATATCTCCGTGGAAAGATAGAAGGACGATGGCGGTCTCTGGAAAGAAGAGATAGCCCCCTTCTATTCGTAAAGCGGCAGCTGTGGCCACTTCTCTCTTTTCTTCTCCTTCGCGAAAAGACAATCTCCTCGGTTTATGTGTGCATCTCCCCCCCTCATCCTCGGTGAAGTCGAATAGATACGGGAAGCAGTGTAACGTCTCACGAGTCGAATAAAGAGAGAAGATAAAACAACCGAGAGTTGAGAGAGGACAAGAGCAAAACGGACAGAAGAAAAGGGAGAAGCCAGCCGCCCCAATAAAAACTCACGCTTGCCTCCGTCTCCATCGTCGCGCACTCACATAACGTATCGTTTCCCCAAGAGGAGCCAAAGAAATATAAGAGTGCCCGGGAGGGCGGCTTCGGGGAGAAAATGAAGAAAGAAAGTTGAGAATTGCGAGGGAAGGGCGGGGGAATTCGGCGGTCGAGGGAGGATGGAAACCGGGCGCGGTCCACGTTCCGACATTTGACAGAACAAAAGACTATCGACCGGATCCACTTGAGCCCTCCCTTCCTCCCTCGATCGCCCCCATTTATCCCTTCGAAGTAGAGCTGAGGCTTCTCTATCCTCCACCCAACATCCCCTGCGCATGTGCGCACTTGCGCGCCACCTCTTCCTCCGCAGACATTCACCTGCAGCGCCATCTGTTACAGTAATACCACTGAAGTGACCGATACTTTAGAGGATTCGACCGAGCTCTTGGCGTACAAATTACCGAAAATTGGTCCACTTTTTTGATCCATCGTCATTCGCAAGAATGCCACCGTCTCATGTTGCCTTCACCTCCGCTCCCTCTCTGCCCCCTTGGCCCATCACTTCGCCATTGTCTTATGGGTGTTCTCCACTGTCGACGGACCGCGAGGAGGGGGTAAACCAGTGAAAATACCGATGCGCGTTTTCTTGCGCGGTACATCAAACGAGCGACGACGCTGACGAATCGATCCGGGAGGTTTAGGGAGCCCAAGGTTTTATCTCACGAGGAGAGCGCACACTGGGACTCACGGTCTCTCCTCGGGTGGGATTTATGATTCTGGCAGGGATTGAACGGCAAGTTCAAATTCTCAAGAAGTCTCCAGAGAGCCCTTCCGTGGGAAACACCAGCTACCAAAGTTGGCAGTTGTATAAAACAACTGGTGGATTTTCAAAGAAATCAAACTGTCAGGATGGCTTTTTGTGGCATTGAATAATTGATCAGCGTCCTTGGGGAGGGATTGAGGGGGGGGGGGCATGGTTCATAGAGATTCTTCATTTGCAGAATGAGGGAATTGGTTATGCTGGGAGACAGTTGGACGCCTTCGACCCATTGGGCTTAACGATCCTTGTCTAATTAACGTAAAATTCAATCAGTCACGGAAGAATAACCTCGGCACGTTATACCATCGTGTGCGCATGGATTTTCACGTAAATTCACTTTCAACCGGAATTCTTTAATTGCTCCCCCCCTCCCTCAGTGTTATGTATAATAACTGAAATTATTATATCCGAGGTATGCGGTTATTCAAGATAATAAAGTATGAATTTTTTACCTCATAATTCGATAAATGACTCAAGTTCATGCTCAGTTGGAGGGAGTTGAACGATTCAACGAAAATAGTGATCATTTTGATGCTGGCGTATGCAAAAATTGACCAAACACTGGTCTTCAAGCGAACCTTGCTCTCCAAGTTCATTAAATATTAACGAGAGTCTCAATTTCTTCATTTCGTTGATGAGTCGTCGAGAGTCTGGCCATCCGAGACCCGCATATAGATTGAAAATTAACTTATATGACCGACCGACAAAATATACGGCATAGTACACGTGTGTTTTAAAACTAAACTTATATAGACACTATTCGGTTGGGCTTGTCTCTGGGCGCGAAGAAGAGTAGTGAGTGGTTCAACACGCGCGTGTTCTAAATTATACGTATTATGCTAACAACAATTTACACAGGCTTTAAGTAGGCTAGCCAAATCAGCCGAAAGCTCCTCCCTCTCTTCTTCGGCTTTTGTCCTCGTGAAATCTTTAAATGCCTAATTTGATGCTAATTAGGATTCTCGGTGGTAACACGAGATGCTGAGGTTCTTGCCTGCAGCCCGAAAATGTACATGGCCTCGTTGTGATTCGCTTATCTCGGAACAAATTGATCATGCAAGGGGGAAGATGAGTGGGTTGTTGAAGTACCATAATTATTTATCTATACATCACACATTTTACATATCTTGTTTTTCGATTCAATTTACAATGAGATTTAATTATACTGATTCATCCCAGTGGACATCATTGTGACGTTGGAAATAACACGATGAGGACAGAATGAATTTGAAAAATTTGGATTCGTTGGTGGAAATGAAAAAGCAATGGTCATGATTATTGCAAACGTTACCCTTTCAATCACTCACTGTCGACACACTTTCAAAACTATTGTCTAACCACTTTGATAATTTGGGTCTGCCATGGAACTACGATTATTATCGTGTATTACGTCTAAACGAATAAATTGCAACGGAATCAACTGGTGTATTATCTCCTAGTGACTAGTGGGGTTTTCACTTGACCTCAATTTCCTCAATTTCTTACGCACATCAACTAGTCTCACAAAGTTTACAGGAGGAATGATTGAGATCAAATCAGAAATACGTAGCACCGTAAGTCTTTTCTTGGATTAATAATCATTCTCTGAGTCATCCATGGTATCCGGAAGAGAAGCCGTCCTCCTCCTCGATTCGTTGTCAATAGAGATCCGAGAATGATACTTGCGATGAGACACCAGAGTGAAGATGATGGAGTGCGTGTATCTCCTCCATGGAAGTTGAGGGCTGGCTGTTGCTGTCGCCCAGGAATGCGGAGTTTGGTCCGATATTGGGGGAATTAGCGGTGGATGAGGAGACTGGAGTGCCTGGACAACCCACGTTGCTTACTCCGTGGTTACCCTCCTGACGCATCATGTTGCGACGCCATTTGGCTCGTGCATTTTGGAACCAGACCTAGGAGGATTGAATAGATAATTGTTGTTGGAAAGTTTTCCGATACTGTTGCCTGAAATCTTTGTCTGAAAATTACGGTACACTTTTCGGAAATTTTTATTGAACTCAATTACCACTGAAATGTGAAGGAATCTCGTCACACGGAGAGAAATATTCAATAAAAATTACGTATCTCTTCCGTAATTCTAGAGTGAAATGTGGTTGTAGGAAATTTTACGGAACTGTCACGGAATTTTTCCAGAGCGTTCCGTAATTTTTATCTGAATCTCATGTGAAAAATTACGATACCGTCACTTAAATTTTCTGAGTCGATTCCGTAACCGGTGAACGAATTGTGAGTTCCGTAATTGTTACTGAACATAATTGAACATTTCTCTCCATGCATTGAAAATTCAGAATTTCGTGGAAAAATCAAAGAGAACTGTAAACTTCAGTTCCACTTTCCTCTGAAAATGAATAGAAAACCAGAAAATTTTGGTAAATATATTCTTGAATTTTCAGAACAGTGACACTGAATACGATTTATGGGAAAAAAATCATGAAACTTCAGATTTCACTAAAATTCTATGTAATTTGGCACTGAATATTCACATAGATTCGAAATTCAAATAAAATAAGGAATTCTCGTCTTTATGCCGCTTAAAATTCTGGAATTTTACTGAATTTCAGTAAAACCTGAAATTTCATCATTTTTTCTTATAAACCGCATTCGGTGTCACTATCCTAAAAATTAGTAGTCAACTGTCCATGAAATTCCATTTTTTTTTCTAACAGTGTGGTTCATTCAGTGAGAGGGCAGGAATATTTGTTGAGTAAAGATTTGGGTTCAATAAGGCAAATTGTTCGGAGAAGCATAGCCATGAAAACCGGCTGACTATGAAGATATATACATGGACATTCAAACTGTCCTCATAAAATTCCAATTCATTATTATAATCCTCCCTAAAACATCATGTTTCATCTCATCAACCTGTCGCAGTCCATCTAGAAATACATGAAGATTAAAACTTTGGCTGCGGTTCAAATTAAGGCTGAGGTTCAGCCACCACTTGCTGATGAAGTAGGTTCATAATTCAGGTCTACATCGAAGTTTGAGTTGAATCGTTCACAAACTCGTTCAGCTTCACGTCAGAATCTTCATAGTGCGTAATTCTTGACATCTCTATCTTTGGAGTCTACAATACCTTGTTTGAAAGCATGGTCATGGCCATTTGAAATACTCTCAATCACTCGGAAAACCATATCTAGGGCTGCCCACGAGACTCAAACGAGACTTCACTTTGAAGGGATCGTCTAGGTCTTGGTGAAAACGGAAACTTTTGGTCTCGTCACAGTCTCGAAAGAGGCAGTATCGGCTCTTCTCGTGATGACTCGCAGTCAATTTATCTCATCTGGATCTCAAGTTTCTCGTTTCTTCACTGGAAGGTCTCGGTTTCAGTCTGGGTCGTCTCGTCTCGGTCCTTTACACATAAAAAACGTTAAAAAATTGAAACCGAGATGAGATAAATTGAGGCTGTGATGATACCGACAGTTTCCGTCATCACCAAGACCAAGACGATCTCTCCAAAGTGAAGTCTCGTTTGAGTCTCGTGGGCAGCCCTGACCATATCAAGCGGAACTAAACTTCCTAAGAGCCAAGTACCTTCTCAATAAAACAGGTTAAAGTAATTGATACAATTAACTTGACTGGTCGAATCAAAGTTCAGATAGGAAAGATTGACGCTTTGACTAGGGCTTATGCTCACGTTGATAATTCAAATTTTGATCAAAGCTATCTTGATCATCCGCAATGCTTAACATCTGCATGTCTCCAAAGTTTTCAGTCATCTGTCCTCAACAGTAGCATTACAACTATCCCACACATTTTCAAATAGACTATCTACTGAACTGCTGATAGAGTACAAGGTGAAAATGATTTGGTAAATTTCACCAACTAGCTGTTTAAATTCTACAACTGCTAATTCATTTTTTCAACAGCTAGTTGGTGAGATTCACCAAATAATTTTCTCCGTTCAATATCCCAAAATCTTTACCTGAAGCACGCGCTTGGACAGCCCCGTCTTCTGCGCCAGTTGCTTGAGATCCTTAGCATCAGGATTCTGATTAATAGCAAAATAGCTTTTCATAGTTCTCAGTTGATGATGCTTGAAGCTCGTTCTCATCCGTTTCGTCCTCTGGCTCTGATGCACCGGTCCTGGCGAGCCCACCGACGTGTCATAAGCAGTCAACGACTCCATGGATGACGACAGTTCATTCGGATGCAGCAGTTCTGCGAAAAATCCAACAAATGAATAATTTCACACAGATGCATAAGCTTGCACGGAACAACTGCCTGTCCCGGTGTGTCATTTGTAATCTATGGACGTACGAAACAACGGTCAGCACGTGCTCTGGATGGACCGCGGCTTTTAAAATGACAAAAAGAGGAGAAATGAAAGGAGGGTAAAAACGACGAGTAAAGAGACGACAACGAGGACTTGGTAAAACTGTACGTGAGGCAGCTGCAGAGAGTCCCAACGTATTGAGGGACTGGATCGAATAGTTTTCGTGTATTGTATAACGGTAACATTCGATTCTTCGGGGGGGATTCGATCATTGCCAATTTCACCGAGACCGAATAAAAATCGCGAGTCAGTCAAAACACTTTGCCAGGGACCATTTTCGGATTGACAACAACATTTGGAACACCTCAATTGGAGATTGGCGGGGGGAAGGGGTGTGTTGAGCGATGGCCGCATTGTGGCAACTCAAACGGAAAAGGTAGGAAGGGGAGTTGTGGAAAAAAAATTGCTGAAAAATTCTTGGATCGAGTTTGCAGTTGTTTCAATATTTATGTCACATCGTGACCATCCACTTCTGGAGGAGAAAAATATTTCTGCAAGGTGCATCGGGCTTCCGGTTCACCAAGCAACACAATGTCACACAGTGAACAACAAAATGAGAAAAGCAAAAAATTGAAGGGACTGAAAAAAAACTGAGTCATCTGCTTTGGTTGCCTGGGCATTCATCGATTCAGCAAAAACCTAACGATCCGCAAGTGCCTAATTAAGCTCAGTGCTATTTTTGCGATCAGCATCGAGGGATCTTGGGCACGAACGGGTGGTTGTGCGAGAGGAGAGACAGACAAAAGGGCTTGGCAAGACGGGGGCAGAGGAGGCAAGATGCCTTAAGAATGAGGTCACAATTTGTCACGTGGGGGGGAAAACAAAAATTGGCAAAGCAAGTGCATTAGGGCTGCGGGCAGATGAAACGTGGTGAGGATTCAGCTTCTTCGAGTAAACAAATAAAAAGTGAGGAGTCAAAAGAAACGAGTGAAATAAATAAAATACTGTATATGCTTTGAGTGAGATAAAAGAGAAATGCGAGAAGGTGGAAGAAGCAAGTAAGGGAATGTAGGTATCAGTGTTCGGCCATTCTGGTCGCAGTGGCTGGGTATTGGTCAGCGGCGGCATTCTTTTCCGGGAGGGAGCGGCCAATCGATGCATCTCAGCGTCGATACCCATCTGTCACTGTCCCCTACGGGGCCTTCGCCGTGTATTCCCTCCTTTTATTTCCTCTTTTGTCTCATTCTTTATACCCCCTTTTATTCTACCAGTGAACTCACCATGAACTTATCCCTCTCCTCCCCCCCCCCACCCCTCTCCCCCCTGCCGCCGCGCCCTTCCCCAATTCTCGCGGTATTAAATTTAAATTCGAAGGAGGAGAAAAATAACCTGGAGAGCCATCTGCAAGAAAAACACGACAAAGCATCAAATTGTTATCATCTAAAATCAACGAACAAAACAATGTTGATGATATTACGGAAATAAATACATATGTCTTCGGCGCGCTTGTATCCTTCCAAGAGACAATAAAACTTTAGGGATATATCGTCATTGAGCGTTATGTGTGGGACTGTTGGTCGTTTCATGGATGAGACATGGAACGAAAAGGGGCGAGACTGGGCGATTTTATAGCTCCTGGATCGTAAATTCCAGCCTCGCGAGGAGAGGAATCGCTCAACGATGTTTCTTCAGCGGGATCTTCTTTTCTTTAATTGTCCAGCGATTATAAAATAACTGAGAATGACGTGATCGGTCTTTTCATCTTGACCATTCTCGGGTGGCTCGCGAGAATATGTCGTCGTAACTGGTTCAACTTAACGTTTCATTGTCAACATCCCTTGATTTTTTTTTCTCCACTGTTCCACGCGCTTCAGGTTCTTTCTCAGCGTTCGGGGAAGCCATTCATATTTCTCTCAGTGGCCATTAAATGTTTATCGTTGTCGTTCCACGATTGCCGTATGATCTGTTTGACGGTGCGATATATATATATTTTTTCACCGTCTGGTGGACGCAAATACCGGGTAATTGATGGAGTGAATGAAAAAAAAACATGTATTCCGATAGAAGTATCGACGTAGGGTGGATTGAACTATGGTGTATGGGGTGAATGTGTAATTGGCCGGCTGGTAAACGCTTTTCATTTGTGTTGCCTTCTCTTTCTCATTCTGGCAAACTCTCGTTGAGCTCGGACGATTTGCTTTACACTCGAGGCCCTGCGGGTCCTTTTATTTGCTCGCAATGCTCGTCTTTTCAAAATGAGTGTAAATAAGTCTTGAAGGTTCATCTAGAACATCGACGACAAGCTGTTGCAGCTGGGTAGTGGTTTGCTTGATGAATCGAGGCATAATTACCGAGGGCGCTTGATGCTAGTCTCATGGTCACTGGCATCTCGGATCCAGTGACTTCGGACAGTTTTCGCTTTCTTGGACGACCCTTTTGGGCTGAACCCACTGAGGTTACGGGGCTCTGCTCGGGTGCGCTGTAGTAGGACGGCAGGGGCGAGACTCCTGGGGAGCCGAGGTCCTCAACGCTCCCAGGAGTGCTGCCGTAGTCTGCGGTGCAGCAGATCAATTCGTAGTGAGGCCTGCACAGAGAAAACAATCAGCTGAATGAAAGTTTCATTCTCTTTGAGAATTCGGTGATTTTTATGGGCAACGCTTTCCAAATATTCAAATAGTCGAAAGTAAACCAGTTGACATGAATAAAAGTCGAAATTAAATTTGAAATATACGGCTCAGGTATGGGGGATAATATTAGATTTTGTCAATATTAAAAGGGGATTATCTCGTTATATTGTTCAAAGTTTAACTATATTTAACTAATTTAAAATATTATAAAATTTGTTAACTGAATTTTTCGATTGGTGGTGAATAAAATATTTGATAATATTGAAATGTAATTTTTTAGTTAACAAGCTAATTCTGAATTTAGGTACTTAATTTTCGATACAAATTAATGGTCAATTTAATATTTAAAATTTTAAGATTTATGTTAAAAAGTGACAACTTCCCAATTTAACGGTATTTGTGATTGATTGATGTGCCTATCACTGATACGCCTAAACAGCACTGCTGATTCTTCTAATCACGCGAGCATCGAAATATTAATTTCAGTAGTTGTGGACCGAAGTAGTCGTACGACCGAAACGACTGACTCTTGATAATATCTTAATATATTGTACAGAGTCTTTTCATTACTGCGATCACTTTATTTCTATTTTAGTATTAAATAATTGGTTAATTATTATTCTTATTCTCGTCGAAACTGCGCGTATTTGGTACTCCTGTTTGTCGTCAAATTCAGCAAAGTTTAATCATAAAAATTGTAATCAATTACTTTATTTTTCTGTCGAATTATATTTTCTGGTCATATTCAGTTCTCGATTCTTTTGATTTATTTGGATCTTTCCAATCGAACCTGTCATTGTATTTCATATTTCATTTCGTCGATTATTTCCAGATAGTTTATCGTTTGTTAGTTTATCGATAAAACTACCTGGCGCCCAACATTTAACATTATTTATTTATTCTTCGTCGTCAAACTTTCGTTCTAACGCTGACAGCAGTCAGGCCCCGGCCGCGTCAGGTGTTGATTCCTTCGACTTTTCTCTTCTTTTCCATAACATTTTGTCGATTATTCATATTTTCAATTAATTAAATTTATTTGTTCCTCGTCGAAAGCACTCTGTCTCAAAACATTCCGTCTTTCTTGCATATAGAAAACAACTGAAAGCAACGAATATTCACCTGCAATAGACAAGACCATCTCTCTGTCCAAAGTGATCGCCCTTATTCAACGGAACTCCACAAGACGCGCAGACAAAGCAAGCCACGTGATAGACGAATTCCCTCGCTCTCATCACCAGTTCCGATGCAGATATTCCAGCCCGACATCTTGAGCATCTCGAAACAGCAAAGAGCCTGTAACAATATAATTTTTGACTCTGATCTCAATACAATAGACACAACTTTGGCTCCAGCGGCAATGACAATTCTCCATCCTTGATAATAAGATTTGATTCATGGTTATGAAGCTGAAGAAGCCCTCGCGCGTTTCAATGGAGCCACCCAGAAATGGCAAACAATGCCTCTCTTACCCCCACGTGGCCAATCCCGAGGCAGCCTACGTTTTCATACAAAACTCGACAGTTACCCACGAGAGATTTATAATTCCAACTACTAGGCTTTGAGTTTTGTATTGAGTGCGCGATCAAAACACTGAATCTCCTCTCCTTCCACGGCAACGTCAAGAGTTTCTAAAATACGAACGATAGAGACAAAGGTGCTCCTCTTTATTCTTTGTTTCTTTCAACAAAAAAAGTTTTTTTTTTTCATTTCTTTTACGTTTGCACTCCCACTCTTTTATTTTTCTTCGACTTCTCTCTATTCATTCCAGTGGGCTCCAATGCCGGGAGCTCGTATTCACATTGTTGCATATTGCATGGAGTGACGTTGTTTTCTACCCTAACGAACCAGAACCGTAGATATATACCGGAGTATTCTCTTCCTTGCCATCTATATATCGACTCGATCCACAATCTCGATTTTTATTTCCTCTCGGTTCTTTTTGCTATTTGCGATTTTAATACAGCCGAGGAAACTGTTGTACAGATTTGATATTTTTTCAAACGTTTAATGGGAATACTATGGGTAGAAAATTCAACGGGGTTTTCGAATGTGTCCTGAGGTAGATGGACGATTGTCCTGGAAACAATGGGAACAATCGAAAAATCAAACTTTCACCTGGGATGAGGAGGCTAAGGAATCAGAAAGAGAGAGAATAAAAATATTTAAACCAGATAAGACTTTTCCGCGAGGTGGATCTCTTTGAAGGACTCCGAGGAGAACGTGCAATTGTAGATGGTAATAATAAATCAACGGGTAACGAGTGTTTTCACGTCCCAATGAAAACCAACGTGTGTCAATCGAGGATTTTTCATCAGCTGTTGAAATTGGGTTTTTCTAATCTTGAATCACAGGCGGTAATGCTCTGGGGATTTTTCATTATGGGGAGAGAAAAAATGGAATTCAGAGGTTTGGGTGGAGGTGAGAGAGAGGACGGCCATTAGTAGGCATTTTGTGTGGTCCAGAGTGAACACAAGTGACGCTCCTATGCAAATTCAGCCACTACCGCAATAAATACCGAGATGGCGGACCGATGGGTGTCTCTGGGGGTCCTCTGGTTTAATCTTTCTTTTGGAGGTATGAGGGACCTGAACAGGAGCATGAATTCTGCATTAATTCCTATTCCCTCATAAAAACCTGTGAATCTGGTAATTTGGGAAATTATTTTTATCGGTTAATCAAGTGCTGTCGGCGGTTGATTAACCGATATCTCGTCAATTATTGGGGTCAATTCAACATCAGAATCGATTGACTAAAAAATTATCCGCTTCGAGAGAATCGTTTTGCACTGATGACCATGAAAAAATTTTTTTTTCAATTTCAGCAGTTTTATTATTCGAAGGTTTTCATGTTGAAATTGCTGCACGTTTGCCCATGAAATTGCAATGTTTTTCCAATAGTGTTCAAGATACTGCACTGGAAGATATTTTTGGGAATTCTCAATGTCGGGAATTTGATTGTAAGTCAAAATCAAATCTTTCGTGGAATTTTTTATTCATCTTGGCAATTCAACAAAATCGGGTTTTTCATGACAGTTTGGACTTGAAATGCGACGTAAAAATTTACACATGCACTTGTCCTCAATGAATTGATAGTTTTCCATAATTTTAATAGCCGCTCAAACCTGAAAATTGAAATTTTATTGAATATTGAGGAAATGGACTGATTCGTTTTATCAACAGCATGTCTAGAAATTTCATGTAAAGTAATCGGTGTCGAACATGTTAAGGTATTAGTGCATTTTGTACGTTGTTGAAAAAATTCAATTGAGATTCCTGATACATTCCTCGGTAATTTCTACTAAGTCGCACCTTCACTGACTTTTTAAGAGATTCCGTCGTCGACAATTCATAATTTGTTGAAAAAGTCAACGGACACTATTCATTTCAGTTCGATTATTCTATGAAATTGAACAGCATCCAGGAAAATTTAGGTGAATAGGTCTTTGAATTGTCAATTAAATGAAAATTTAGAGTAATTTGGTGCTGAATATTGAAGTTTTGATTAACATAACTGAATTAAAAAACTCAATTTCATTATTTTTTCTCTCCAAAATCAGATTCAACGTCGCTTTCCTGAAAATTACTGCTATAGTATCCATAAAATCTCAAGATATTTTTAAGCGTTACCATATACAAACATATTCACCCTAAATATAAAATTAAAAAATATGAAAGTCCCAAAGATATTGCTAAACGAGTAAATGCATAAAAAAAGATGTCACAAAAATCAACATATTTTCAGATCCTAACCGATAATAATCCTCCTTGCAGTAAATATTTCCATCCCTCGAGAAGCAAGTGAGTTCCGCAGCGAGAGGCACGCGGCAATGACAGCACCGAAGACATCCGCAGTGCCAGGCGCGATCAGCAGCCCTGAGGTACCATCTCTCCGTGATATCCCGACCGCAGCCCCCGCAGGCGAGTCCACCCTCGGAATTCCCCGAATCCCCCTGATTCTCTCGACGACCAGCTGTCACGTCCCCGGGTGGGGGTGTACTACTACCGCAACCGACTTCCTTCAGCATCACGGAGAAAACTGGCGCCTCTACATCCTGCAAAACACCCATCAATCTCAAAAACTCTACACATAACAGGTGACTGCTATACAACTCACCCCAGAAGACACTTAACACAGGATAAAAAGGGGAAGAGCAATTAATCAACGAAAAGTTACGACAATAAAACACCAATGAACTTCAGTGAATGTTTTATTTTATTTCGGTCTGAAATGAAAGATGATGATTGGCCCTGCTGATGTCCAGAAACCTGAGTGATCACATCACGTAGTTCTGGTGACATTACTGTGAACCTTTCAATTAATTTATTCATTATTTAGACCAATACAGTCTTGTACAAGGGAGAGTCGAGACAATTAGTCGTCTTACAAAGTAGCATAATTAATATTCATATTATAGTTCACATAATTCCATTTGGGAGTTTACGTTGCAATCAATTCAGCAAGTGAAGTTCAGTACGTTTAAAAAATTTTTTTGTTTCCTTTTTTTCCTTTTTCTTATATTAGTTCATAGCGTCTTTACCTAGCTTTTTACAAATTTTGTTCAAGAAGAAAAGGAGAGCGAGAATATTTTCTTCATTTGCGTCGAGTATTTCTCGTATGTCATTGATTGTTATCTACGACTATCTTAATTTTTGTGTTAAAATTTTCTGTTCTTCACTGAATTTCGAACAGACTGCTAATGTGTGGTACAGATCGTTGGATTCAGGATTAAAACAGGTGACATTACTGTGATGCAGAGATCTGCATTAATCATTAGTTTTAGTAATATTTGGGTTGAAATTTGAAATTTATAAAAAAATTGATGATTTAAATTTTCAATTGACTGTGAATTAAATAATTGAAAATATGTGATTGTAAATTGATTATTGAGCAAATATTTCTAAATTTCTTAAAAAGGATTTTCGATTAGCCAAATTATCGTCAATCCTCCGAACTCAATTATTGATTGATAAAATAATTCCGAATTTGGCTATTTAATTAATGATTATTTTCATAATTTAAAATTAGTGAGTATTATCAGCTATTGACTTCTTCAAAATTTACTTTTATTTAAAATTCATGATTCTGCCGATGCTGTGTGGTATATTCTAAAATTCGGTATTCCTTTGTAACCCCTGATGTACTTTCTTTACAACAAAAGCACTTTGATATATGATCAAATGCGCAAGATTGCAGAATTAATTTTTTTGAATGGAGTTCCACGGTGACGGTGACGTGCTGGTTTGAACCCGAAAAAACCACTGTATTCATTGCAAAATTTCATATTTATTATTCTTGTATTTAGTGTGTCATCTGTTATTTAAACCTACAACACCCACGGAGAAAAAAGTGGGAGAAAGATTACCAAACAAGTCGAGTAATCGTGGAACAACCTCGATTTTCATTACTTTTTCACCTGAAATTAGGAGAAAAAGTGCAAGATTGATAGTGAACTCCACAACACATTTATCATAGATCTGCATGAAAAAATTAAAAACCTGAGTTGTGATCAAACGAATCGTGCGAAATTCATTGGAAGATTGGAGAATCGTATACTAATTTCATTACATGTGAAAATTCGTCATCGACTATCTCGACTTGAGCTCACGTCTGACATGGAAAATTCTTATACAAGTATATGAAAATACTATACTATATACTGTAAACAGCTTCCTACACACGTGTGCTAATTTATGCTTCTAAAATTTCAACAGTGTAGATGTATTTTTTCCCCGAGAAAATCGTACACGGAGAGAAATATTCAATAAAAATTACATATCTTTTCCGTAATTCCGGAGCGAAATGTGGTTGTAGGAAATTTTACGGAACTGTCACGGAATTTTTCCAGAGCGTTCGGTAATTTTTATCTGAATCTCCTGTGAAAAATTACGATACCGTCACTTAAATTTTCTGAGTCGATTCCATAATCGGTGAGTGAAGTGAGAGTTCCGTAATTTTTACTGAATATTTCTCTCCGTGTAAGACACCCACTAAAAACTAGTATTTTTTCCCTGAATTACATTTCGCTCCACGACTACCATTCGCATACAAAAATTTGTCACGGTTTTCGAGGTAATTGTTGTCCAACTTTTTCCTTCATGCACGATAAAAAGGAGCAGAGCAATTAATCAATGAAAAATTACCGTAATGAAATACCAATTAACGTCAGCGAATGTTTTATTCAATTGGGATCTCATATGAGAGATATCGGAAAGGTGATTTTACCTTCGAGTCGGCCGAGTGTGGCGGCAAAAGGGGGGCGGG